GACAGTCACAAGCCTCCTCATTTGAATTACACCCCGCTGAAATAAATAACTTCCATAATTTCCACTCCTAACTAGTATTCACGCATTTAAACGCAATATCTGAAGTAATTGGAGGGGTGGAAGCAGCACTTATATGGGCGTTTTATATCGCCTACAGCATTACGGCATGGCACCGGCATTAGTAAAATATTCCTGAGCTCAAAAGTAAAACTATGAGGTAAAATGCCTGCCGAAATTGGTGTCCGTATATTGAGTAAGCTGCGCCCTAAATCTGAAGCAATGAGAAGAACGGATACCTGCAGAATTGGAAGATTTGGTCGCGCCGCTTCGGAACACCTTGCTGCCAATAGATAAAAAAAGGCGAGAGTCGCTTTCCTCCTCCTTCCCTCTCGGGTACACGCATTCGCAAAAGTAGGGGCCCCGAGCATAAATTATATTATTCATTTAATTCTAAGTAGGAAAGGAAGTGGCTATGACGAATATTTATGTCATAAATAGTATGTGATTTACGGTAATATATTTTCGGGTAGGGCAAGCCGGTTAATTCAGACCGCGCAAAATAAACGAGAAAGATTTAAATGAAGAATAATTTGTATTATAATATTACTCACTGGAACAGCTATCTAGCTGGATAAGTGATTTCCAGTAAACAGTAATATACTAAATGAAGTAAACTTATTAATAACGATTATCCTTAATAAAGGAAAGTAAGTAAGTGGACTCGATTTTATTCACAGATATGTGGAAAATTATTGCCTCTGGCAAGCATTGTAGCACGACGCCATAAATATTAGGAAAGATTTCGCAGAATTGCGTCCTAATAGGATATGAATTGATACTAGTAAACTACTGATTAATAGTGTTAGTAAATTATAATTATTAGCACAAAGATGATTTATCAGGGTGCTAAATGAGAAATAAGTGTTGGATATTTCCAACATCATTGATTGGCCATCTCAAAAGACAAGGGGAACGCCGCAGCCACCTTCCCGCCTCAAGGACCTCATTCTGATGAGCAAACCTGGACTGAGTAGACGTGGTATCCTGATTTCGGCCAAAATTCAGTGTATTTTCCTTGGCTATCGTATAGTTCAGCAAGCTCAAAGTATATCTATTCCGTCTAAGCATTACCGTCCCAAAATCCGGTACTCGCTCGGCGCAAATAGATATTATTTACGAAGATACTAGGAAGCACGGAAGGAAGATACTCCATGCCGCACATGTTCCTCTGCAGGTGCATTAGAACTGTAGCAAAGTGATTCGTGATCATCGGCTTATATCAGAGCGATCCGTCACCATATCTCTTAGTAGACTGTGTACAGGGAATCTAGGGATACGGTTCCAAGTGTTTAAGTTAAAATTCTGAGTGAATTAATGTAAAATTGTGGACTGTGTGGACTATTAATTTCGTCCATCGTGCTGTCCACCCCGGGTGCTTATCACATGGTGTCCATCTCGTTCCATCAGTGTTCCACCAGTGTGCCTTCAGCAAAGCACGCTACTGAAATTCTCACCCCGTGTGCTCTCTAAACGCACCCCTGTCTCCACCAGTTATCTTGGGTGGCAAGCAATTCTCGCCCTTGTGGTCCAGTGGTTCGCTGCCTCATCCGCCAGCGCCACCTCGACCCCACCTCACCGCACCTTCACCCGTGTAACCCCTGTGCACAAGGATCTACCACGGGCTGCCTGTGTGGTGTTCGATCTTCAATCAACAGCGGAATCATAATGAGTATGAATGTACTGTGGAAGGATACCGGTATTTTCAAAGTGAGTACTCAAGTATCAACTTTATGTATCATTCTTCTGGTGAGCATTATTTCTTTGGGCTGAGTAAATTCAGCCAGACGGTCTGTTGTTCTTCGTAGTCCCGTAGCTGGAAGAAGTTCCACAGCCGAAGAAAGCACGATAGGAGAGGGCAGCTACAGCTAATCTGTGTGATAACTGTAAACTGACCTGAGTGTGATTGTTATCTTACACTTGTTACACATTTAGTATTATGTGTTTTATATTATTTGAAGTTCGATTATACCGGCTTGTATAATGTTGATAGCGCCACTACGGACTTTAATGTAACGTTAAGCTATTGTTGCCTTGTATTGTTTAGTATATTAAGTTTTTATGAATAAATGTTATTGGTTGAACTACAAGTGCCTTTCCGTTCACACCTTCTAAGACCCTTGTCACCATTGATTATCTCTGCCATACGCTCTGAAGTACTCAACTAATTATGCTTGCGGGGGTTCAGCTCTGGCTCTTTGGTCCCGCCTCTCAACCGTCAATCAACTGATGCACAGATTCCTGAACCTACTGGGCTCTGTCATATCTACATTTGAAACTGTGAATGGAGTCAGCCTCCACCACATGACTTCCTAGTGCATTCCATTTACTAACTACTCTGACACTGAAAAAGTTCTTTCTAATGTCTCTGTGGCTCATTTGGGTACTCAGCTTCCACCTGTGTCCCCTTGTGTGTGTGCCACCCGTATTAAATAATCCATCCTTGTCCACCCTGTCAATTCCCCTGAGAATTTTGCATGTGGTGATCATGTCTCCCCTATCCCAGTGGCTTACCTCTGAACTTTTTACAGCTTCGTCTTGTGCTTGACTAGATACGGGCTCCATGCTGGGGCTGCATACTCCAGAATTGGCCTTACATATGTGGTATACAAAGTTCTGAAGGATTCTTTACACAGGTTTCTGAAAGCAGTTCTGATGTTAGCCAGCCTCGCATAGGCCGCTGATGTTATTATTTTGATGTGGGCTTCGGGAGGCAGGTTTGGCGTGATATCAACTCCCAGATCTTTTTCTCTGTCCGTTTCGTGAAGGACTTCATCTCCCATTCGGTATCCAGTGACTGGCTTCCTAGATCCTCCTCCTCCTAGTTTCAGTACCATCCCAAGTGATCCGTGATCCGTTTCCTTACCGTTTCAAGTGATCCTTATATGTTGCTCTGGATACTTGAACTGGAGCCAGTTTCATAGCCACACACATACACCAACAAATTTGGAATGAGAATCGATTAGCTTCTCTGAAAACTGCCGTCAGCAGTTACGGAAGCAAACGACCCAGTGGATCATTAGAGCGTCAAGGATTTGGACTCTGGCGGCAGCTCTACGCCACCTACGTCAGTTTTAAAGTAATAAGCTGAACTTGTTGTTGTCAATGCAGTCCTTTCTGACTGAGGCCACTTGTATTAGTGCCATCCCCCGTAGACTGTAATCTCACAATGACACTGGAACCAAGTACTAACCAGAAACTCAGGACAAAGTACCAACCAGGCACTCACGGGGACAAAGTACCAACCAGGCACTCATGGGGGCAAAGAACTCACCAGGCACTCACTGGAACAAAGTACCAAACCAGGCATTCATGCATACATAATACTAATCTGGCACTCATAGTGGCAAAGTTCAAACCTGGCGCTCATTGGGGTAATTTCTCAACAAGGCACTATCGGGAGGAAAGTATCGAGGTACTCACGGGAGGAAAGTATCAGGGTACTCACAGGAGGAAAGTATCGAGGTACTCACGGGAGGAAAGTATCAAGGTACTCACGGGAGGAAAGTATCAAGGTACTCACGGGAGGAAAGTATCAAGGTACTCACGGGAGGAAAGTATCAAGGTACTCACGGGAGGAAAGTATCAAGGTACTCACGGGAGAAAAGTATCAAGGTATTCACGGGAGGAAAGTATCAAGGAACTCACGGGAGGAAAGTATCAAGGTACTCACGGGAGAAAAGTATCAAGGTATTCACGGGAGGAAAGTATCAAGGAACTCACGGGAGGAAAGTATCAAGGTACTCACGGGAGAAAAGTATCAAGGTATTCACGGGAGGAAAGTATCAAGGTACTCACGGGAGAAAAGTATCAAGGTACTCACGGGAGGAAAGTATCAAGGTACTCACGGGAGGAAAGTATCAAGGTTCTCGGGGAGGAAAGTATCAAGGTTCTCAGGGAGGAAAGTATCAAGGTACTCACGGGAGGAAAGTATCAAGGTACTCACGGGAGTAAACTGTAAACCTGGCATTCACAGGGGTAAATTACCAACCAAACACTCAAGGGGTCACACAAGGGGACAAAATACCCCCACCAAGACACTCATGGGAACACTAACAAGGACAACGTACCAACCAGACACTCAAGGAATACTAACAAGGACAACGTACCAACCAGACACTCAAGGAACACTAACAAGGACAACGTACCAACCAGACACTCAAGGAACACTAACAAGGACAACGTACCAACCAGACACTCAAGGAACACTAACAAGGACAACGTACCAACCAGACACTCAAGGAACACTAACAAGGACAACGTACCAACCAGACACTCAAGGAACACTAACAAGGACAACGTACCAACCAGACACTCAAGGATCACTAACAAGGACAACGTTCCAACCAGACACTCAAGGAACATTAACAAGGCCAACGTACCAACCAGACACTCAAGGAACATTAACAAGGACAACGTACCAACCAGACACTCAAGGATCACTAACAAGGACAACGTTCCAACCAGACACTCAAGGAACATTAACAAGGACAACGTACCAACCAGACACTCAAGGAACATTAACAAGGACAACGTACCACACAAACACTCAAGGAACACTAACAATGACAACGTACCACACAAACACTCAAGGAACACTAACAATGACAACGTACCACACAAACACTCAAGGAACACTAACAAGGACAACGTACCACACAAACACTCAAGGAACACTAACAATGACAACGTACCACACAAACACTCAAGGAACACTAACAATGACAACGTACCACACAAACACTCAAGGAACACTAACAAGGACAACGTACCACACAAACACTCAAGGAACACTAACAATGACAACGTACCACACAAACACTCAAGGAACACTAACAAGGACAACGTACCACACAAACACTCAAGGAACACTAACAAGGACAACGTACCACACAAACACTCAAGGATCACTAACAAGGACAACATACAAACAGTGTACTTACCAAGGGTAGAGTGTGGGCTGAGAAGTTGTTCCCACAACAACAATCTGATAAAACAACAAAATAATTTAATATTAATTAATGTCTAAGCTAACTGAAAGAAATTTCAGATGCCTTGATAACTTTAATTTTTTTTTAAATGTTTGCAAGGTCCTTCTGGTCTTACTTACCCAGTCTCTCTCCCAAAGTCTTGTCCAACCTCTGGTCCAGTCTCTCTCTTAAAGTCTTGTCCAACCTGAACCACCAGTCTTGTCCAAAGGAACAACCGTGGACATCTTCAAGAGGAAACTAGATTGTTTCCTTCAAGGAGTTCCGGGCTGTGGTGGGTATGTGGGCCTGCAGGCCGCTCCAAACAACAGCCTGATGGACCAAACTCTCACACGTCAAGTCTGACCTCGGGCCGGGCTTGTGGAGTAGAAGAACTCCCAGAACCCCATCAACCAGGTATCAACCAGGTATTAACCTCTAGTCCAGTCTCTCTCCCAATGTCTTCTCCAACCTCTAGTCCAGTCTCTCTCCCAATGCCATGTCAAATCTCTAGTCCAATCTCTCGTCCAATGTCTTGCCCAACCTCTAGTCCAGTCTCTCGTCCAATGTCTTGTTCATCCTCTAGGCCAAGTCTCTTGCTGAATCTCTTGACCAATCACTTACCCAATCTTTAGCACAATCTTTTGTATAACCTTTTGCTTAGTCTTTTGCACAATCTTTTTCTTCACGCTCTTGTCCGTTCTCAAACCCAATCTCTTGAATAATCTCTTGCCAAATCTCAGGCTCAAACTCTTGCTAATTCTGTTCCAATTTTTTTTTCTCATTCTATTGTTCAGTCTGTCGGCTCAGTCTCTTGCCAATTTTTATACTCAATGTCGTCCTCATTCTCTTGCCAATCAACTTCTTAATCTCTTCCCCAGTCTCTTCCCAATCAATTTCTTAATCACTCAGCCAATTTCTTCCTCTTTTGCGTAATCTCTTTTGCATTCTCTTGTTCAATCGGTTAATCAATCTCTTGAACAATAACTTCTTGCTCTTCTCTTGCTCTTTTGCATAATCACTTGACCAATCTCTTACACAATCACTGGTTCAATCTCTTGCATATTCTTTTGCTTTCTCAGTGGTATAGGGCTGTACCACTGAACCTCCCACACCACGAAGAGACGTTCTGTACTACTGAATCATCACACCACAATGGTTAACTGCTGTACCACTAAACCACCAATTCACAACGTTGGCTGCTGTTACTATTGAACCACCACACCAGAAAGTTTACTGTTGCACCATTCAACTCATTGTCTCTGTACTCACAAAAAGAGTATGAGATGCACTGCGACACAGGATGGGTATGCGGTCCATTACCACTGATAGGAGGTATATGGGGGTCCATTACCACTGACAGTAGATATAGGAGGGTCCATTATCACTCACAGGAGGTATATGGAGATCCATTACCAGTCACAGGAGTCATATCGAGGTCCATTACCATTCACAGGAGGTATATGGGGGGTCCACTACCACTCACAGGAGATATATGGGGGTTCATTACCATTAACAGGAGGCATATAGGGTCCATTTCCTCTCACAGGAGGTATATGGGGATCCATTACCACTCACAGGAGTCATATGGAGGTCCATTGCCATTCACAGGAGGTATATGGGGGGTTCATTACCACTCACAGGAGATATATAGGGGTCCACTACCACTCACAGGAGATATATGGGGGTTCATTACCACTCACAGGAGGCATATGGGGGTTCATTACCACTCACAGGATATGTATGGGGGTCCATTACCACTTACAGGAGGTATATAGGATGTTATCCATTTCCTCTCACAGGAGGTATATGGGGATCCATTGTCGCTCACAGGAGGTGTATGGGGGTCCATTACCACTCACAGGAGGCATATGGGGGTTCATTACCACTCACAGGAGGCATATGGGGGTTCATTACCACTTACAGGAGGTGTATGGGGTCCATTACCACTCACAGGAGGTGTATGGGGTCCATTACCACTCACAGGAGGTGTATGGGGTCCATTACCACTCACAGGAGGTGTATGGGGTCCATTACCGCTCACAGGAGGTGTATGGGTCCATTACCACTCACAGGAGGTGTATGGGGTCCATTACCACTCACAGGAGGTGTATGGGGTCCATTACCACTCACAGGAGGTGTATGGGGGTCCATTATCACTTACAGTAGGAATTAGGGGGTCCATTACCACTCAACGAGGTATATGGGGGGGTCCATTACCGTTCACAAGAGGTGTATGGGGGTCCATTGCCACAAACAGGTGTATGGGGGATTTAAAACTACTTAAAGGATTGGGGGATCTATTACTACTTAAAGGAAATGGGTATGGAACACTCTAAAGAATTGGGTATGGGGTCAACTGCCACTCTCAGGAATAGTACGGAGTTCATTGTTGCTCGCAGGATGGGCATGGGGTTAACTACCGCTCGCAGCATGGGATGAGGTTCACTACCGCTCGCAGGATGGGTATGGGGCTCAATACCGCTCACAGGATGGGTACGGGGTTCATTGTCGCTCGCAGGATGGAGATACTGTTTAATACTATTTACAGAATTGGTATGAGGCTCAATACAACTCAAAGGATGGGTAAGGGGTCTGCTTCCACTCACATGTTGGGTATGTGGTCCAATACCCCTCATAGGATGGGCATGGGGTACACTATCATTAACAGGATGATGATGAGATGCAATGTCACACATAGGATGTGTATTGAGTCCACTACTACTCACGAGATGGATATAGACCAACTATTACTAACAAAAATGGGTATTGGGTCTCCTATAACTCAAAGGATGAGTATAAAGTCTAATGCCACTCACAGGATGGGTATGGGACACATAATAAATGACCTATTGGCCGCATGAGTATACAAACAATATTAAACAAGATTGTGATTGCATACTGACTTTGTCCCTCTGGAACCAAGGCATTAAAAGCTTCACTCACCGCAAACAACAGAGCTGAGAGCAGCAACAGCTTCATCGTTGCTTCTGCAGGAGAGGTGAAGGTGTTGACGACTGCTTGAGAGGAGGTGATACTGACCAAGACCTGTGGCAGGTGAATGGTTCAGTAGGTGTTGCTGGCGGGACACGTGTGGCTTATGTGGGGTTCCCCGGGCGCTTAAGGATGTATTGAGAGATGTTCCTTAAGGAGAGCGCTGGCACCTCTAACAGTTCTCTGGGGTCCTCGCTGTGTAAAAACTGGAGCTGTGTTGTCTAGCCGGAGCCGCAGCTAACCAGTCCAGGACGACGCATAATATGACTCGTTTTCTTAACACATTGGTCGACCTGGCAACCTCTGGGTTCCTGGAACACTGCTGAGTCTCTCCTGAACGTGTTCCTCTTCCACAACACTGTTTACCTCACACTGCTTACCTTTGTTTATATAGCAGTCTTACCCCTAACAGTGCTTATAGCAGTGTTACGCTAACAGTGCTTATAGCAGTGTTACCCTAACAGTGCTTATAGCAGTGTTACCCTAACAGCGCTTATAGCAGTGTTACACTAACTGTGCTTATATCAGTACTCACCTACTTGTACTCATTTGTTTGTGCTTGCGCAGGGGGGGGGGGGGTGAGCTCTGGCTCTTTGGTCCCGCCTCTCAACTGTCACTCAACTGGTATACAGGTTCCTGAGCCTACTGGGCTATCTTATATCTACACTTGAAACTATGTATGGAGTCTGACTCCACCACATCACTCCTTAACGCATTCCATTTGTCAACCACTCTGACACTGAAAAAGTTGTTTCTAATATCTCTGTGGCTCATTTGGGCGCTCAATTCCACCTGTGTCCCCTAGTGCGTGTGCCCCTTGTGTTAAATAACCTGTCTTTATTTACCCTAACAATTCCTCTGTGAATCTTGTATGTGGTGATCATGTCCCCCCTAACTCTTCTGTTTTCCAGCAACGTGAGGTTTAATTATCTTAGTTTCTCCTTGCAGCTCATACCTCTTAGCTCGGATACTAGTCTGGTGACAAACCTTTGAACCTTTTCCAGTTTAGTCTTATGCTTGACTAGATATGCTTGACTAGATATGGAATCCATGCTGGAGCTGCATACTCCAGGATTGGTCTGACATATGTGATATACAAAGTTCTGAATGATTCCTTACACAAGTTTCTATATGCCGTTCTTATGTTGGCCAACCTGGCATATGCCGCTGATGTTATCCTTTTGATACGGGCTTCAGGGGACAGATCCGGCGTAATATCAGCCCCAGGTCTTTCTCTCTCTCTCTCTCTCTCTGACTCTTGAAGAGTTTCATCTCCCAAATGATACCTTGTATTTGGTCCCCCCTGCTCCCTACACCTATCGTCATTACATTACATTTGCTTGGGTTAAATTCTAACAACCATTTGTTCGACCATTCCTTCAGTTTGTCTAGGTCTTCTTGAAGCCTCAAGGTGTCCTACTCTGTTTTAATCTTTCTCATAATTTTGGCATCGTCGGCAAACATTGCGAGAAATGTAATGATCTCCCTCCAGGACATCTTTACGTTTACCAGAAACAGGATAGGACCGAGTACAGAACCCTGTGGGACTCCACTGGTGACTTCACCCCAGAATGAGGTCTCACCCCCTCACTGTAACTTTCTGCTTCCTATTGCTTAGGTACTCCCTTATCCACTGGAGCGCATTACCAGTTCCTCCTGCCTGTCTCTCCAGCTTATGTACCAGCCTCTTATGGGGTACTGTGTCAAAGGGTTTCCGACAATCCAAGAAAATGCAGTCCGCCCAGCCTTCTCTTTCTTGCTTAATCTTTGTCACTTTTTCATAGAATTCTATTAAGCCAGTAAGGCAAGATTTAAAATCCATGAAGCCATGTTGATGGATTGTCACGAAGTTCCTTTTCCCCAGATGTGTTACTAGGTTGTTTTTTCTCACGATCTTCTCCATCACCTTGCATGGTATACAAGTCAAGGACACTGGCCTGTAGTTCAGTGCCTCTTGTCTGTCGCCCTTTTTGTACATTGGGACTACATTAGCAGTCTTCCATATTTTTAGTAGGTCTCCCATCTCCAGTGACCTACTATACACTATGGAGAGTGGTAAGCAAAGTGCCTCAGCACACTCTTTCAATACCCATGCTGAGATCTTGTCTAAACCAACAGCCTTTCTCACATCCAGATCCAACAGGTTTCTCTTGATCTCATCTCTCGTAATTTCGAACCCCTTCCATGCCCACCTGGTTTACTGCCCCCTTTCCTAATGCAGTGACCTCAACTTGTTCTTGTGTTAAAACCTCCTGGAACCTTTTGTTGCGTTCTTCACACACTTCTTTGTCATTCTCTGTATACCTGTCCTCGCTTGTTCTAAGTTTCATTACCTGTTCTTTCACTGTTGTTTTCCCTCCTGATGTGACTGTGGAGTAGCTTTGGTTCGGTCTTGGCCTTGTTTGCTATACCATTTTCATAATTTACCTCTGCTTTTCTTCTCACACTAACATACTCATTCCTGGTTCTCTGGTATCTCTCTCTGTTTTCTGGTGTTCTTTTGTTCCGGAAGTTCCTCCACGTCCTTTTGTTCAGTTCCTTTGCTTCCATACATGCCCTATTATACCATGAATTCTTCTTTTGCTTTTCAGGTTTTTCCTTTTGGGCCGGGATAAACCTGTTTACTGCCTAATGACACTTTTGAGTGACATAGTTCACCATGTCTTGTACAGACTTAGCTCTGAGGTTTGTGTCCCATGGTAAATCTTAGGAAACTTCTCATCTGCTAATAATTCCCCATTCGGTATGCCAACCTTTTGTTTCCTAGTTCTTTTTTTTTAAGGGAGATAAATCCTACCTCTCCCAGGTACTAAAAGATCAATACACTGTGATCACTCATTCCCAAAGGTGCTTCCAACTTAACTTCCCTTATATCCCACTCATTTAGGGCAAATATCAGATCAAGCATGGCTGGATCATCTTCCTCTCTCATTCTTGTAGGTTCTTTGATGTGTTGGCTTATAAATTTTCTTGTTGCCACGTCCAGCAGCTTGGCTCTCCATTTATCTGGTCCTCCATGTGTATCTGTTCTCCCAATTTATCTTCCCCGTGGTTGAAGTCTCCCATGATGAGTAGTCCAGATCCATTCCTGCTAGCGACAGAAGATGCTCTCTCTATTATTTTAATGTTAGCCATGTTGTTTCTCTCATATTCCTGTCTGGGTATTCTGTCATTTGGTGGTGGATTATATATGATTACGACTCTAATTTTTTGTCCTGTAGTTGCTATGGTACCTCTTATGTAGTCACCGAAACCTTCACAGCCCTGAATAACCATCTCCTCAAAATTCCAGCCTTTTCTTACAAACAGAGCTGCATTCCAACTTCCTCTTCCTTCTCTCTCTTTCCTCACAACACTGTAGTCCCGTGGAAACACTACATTTGTTATGGTTTTCGTCAGATTTGTTTCTGTGAGGGCAATATTATCTGGATTTTCTTCAAGTAACCTTTCTCCAAGTTCATTTATTTTATTTGTTATCCCATCTATGTTAGTGTACATTGCCTTGAGACTCACTTTTTTCTATCCCTTCTTTTGTCCTATTCTTGGTGAGCGTTCTGCTGATGGGGAAATTGTTCCATGGGTGTGAGGATATGTGAGGTGCATAACAGGGTCTCAATGAATACTGGAGTGAGGGGTGGGGGCAAGTGAAGGGGGGACAGGGAGGGTATGGGATGAAGGTGGAGGGAGGACAGGGAGAGAACAGGGGGAGGGAGGGCAGGGAAGGAACAGGGGAAGCGGGAGACATGGATGAGTAGAGGAGGGGAAGCTGGGGTTGGAATGGGGTGTTGGGGGAGGGAGAGTTGGCTGAGCATTTGAGGTAGGGCAGGGAGGGATTGGGGTATGGGGAGATTTCTATGCAGAGGAGGGTGGTGGAGTTGCCCTCCCCTCTGGAGATAGGGGCGGCAAGGCGCAGGGCCACACCAATACTTAGGGCCCGATGGTCCAGGCGGGTGCCCAAGGCGGAATTAGGGACTGCCAACAGGACGTCCCCGTTATGGGTTGGGGAGGGGGGGGGGTTGCTTGCACAACTAGGAAACGCGGTCTGTCCTTGGCAGAAGCTGCCTCCGGCAATACTTTGGCGATGTTCTCCACTATTTATCTATCCCATTTGGCCTGTTCGCCGTCGTTTCGAAAAGTTGGTCGAGTGTGTGAAATAGCAAGTGTCCCACTGACCAGCCCCTTCCACAAATTTGGGATCACGAATCCCAGTAGAGTTCTTTAGGTATTCTGGTGGTATTTCATTCACTAATTCACTTGTAGCACTGATCGAAGGTAAGAATGCCGGCAATGTTATCTGTGTCGCCTTGCGAATACCTATACCCCCGAGTCTAACTGGAAGCGTTGCTTTGTCCTACTGGTCATCTTGCAGGGAGAGGTTTAACACTTTCATAGTTATTGAATTTTGGAGTGAGTCGTATTCCGTTAATTTTGCGCTGTCGAAGGAAGGAGCACACCTGAGGAAATAGATGTCTGGGCAAAGCCAGGCACCTTGTGAGAAGGTACAAAGCGTCGTGAGCATCCAAAGCCCCTATTCTTTCCTCCATCCTCCCCAGGTCGTTCAGCTTTTCTTCGAGGACTACCTCAGTGGCGTTCGAGCCCAGAGGTGCCCCTAGCAGCACACTGTTGGTGGGAGCGATCACTGTGGCTCCTGACAATAAGATTCGTACTGCATCTATGATTGGTTGGCTGGATGAAATGATTTCACACTTTGATGGGTTTTGGGTAAGGCCTAGCTCCTCTCCCTTCGATTTCACTAGTTGAAGATCTCCTAGCAGGGTTTCCTGTGTCTCTGCCAGGGTGCCATCGTCCAGAAACCAGATGTTGAATTCGCTGGACAACCTGCTTGTGATCTCTTTAGCTGCCATGCAGAAAAGGAAAGGAGCAAGTGGGTCTCCCTGCTGGACACCTTCTGCGGAAACAACTTCATGTTCCCCAAACAACAGTGTCGATTCCCTACTGTACCCTGCTGAAACGAAGGGAAGTAGACAAGGATAGCGTGTTCGAACTGCTTCCAGTACCACATCCCTTTTTACCTGGTTGAAGGCATTTTTAAAGTCTAATTTAATTAATGCCAGTGGAGCTGGTCGGCCGAGCGGACAGCACACTGGACTTGTGATCCTGTGGTCCCGGGTTCGACCCCGGGCGCCGTCGAGAAACAATGGGCAGAGTTTCTTTCACCTTATGCCCCTGTTACATAGCAGTAAAATAGGTACCTGGGTGTTAGTCAGCTGTCACGGGCTGCTTCCTGGGGGTGGAGGCCTGGTCGAGGACCGGGCCGCGGGGACAATAAAGCCCCGAAATCATCTCAAGATAACCTCAAGAAGCCTTATTTTCCGGGAGGTGCCTAATATAGGCTCACGCTGCATGAGCTGCTGCTTCACAGCCATGGGGGTTATCTTGAGGTTATCTTGAGATGATTTCGGGGCTTTAGTGTCCCCGCGGCCCGGTCCTCGACCAGGCCTCCACCCCCAGGAAGCAGCCCGTGACAGCTGACTAACACCCAGGTACCTATTTTACTGCTAGGTAACAGATGCATAGGGTGAAAGAAACTCTGCCCATTGTTTCTCGCCGGCGCCTGGGATCGAACCCAGGACCACAGGATCACAAGTCCCGCGTGCTGTCCGCTCGGCCGACCGGCTCCCCGGGGGACACCAAAACCTAGTTGATGGGGTCGAAGCATCGTTGCAGCGTCTATGCTAATTTTTCTGACAGCTGCCCTAGCAACAAGGCGCCGAAGTGTGTTACCTACGGCAATGGGTCTGATTCCACCATCCTTCTTCTTAAGGGCACAAAGGGATGCTCCGAAGAAGGGTTTAATTATATCTGGGATCAGCCTAGAGAGGCAGTCGTTGACAAACTTCGTGACCTCTGACAGTAGTGTCTCGGCAACTTCGCCGAGAACTGGGTTTGTCATCTCCTTGAGGTGCTGAGGTCTTACTCCAGTGTATATCCCTGCTGAGCCTGGTGGAAATGACATGATGGCTTTGTATACCTCTGACGCTTGGAGGAATAGAGGTCCCATGTCTGAGACATTTGTGTCCCGAGCAGTGAGTTCCCATGGTACTCTGGGAGGGTGCTTCTCTCTCAGTGAGTCGGCAGTTGCAGTATTTTTTTTAAGGGGGATTGTTTCTTCACTGGTAAGTAACCTAATTGTTACTAATTAACCTAATTGTAAGAATGCAAGAGTTACTGGATCTGAGGTTGTAAGAAACAAATGAGGGCAATTTCGGGGGTGAGGATCTTGGGGGAACTCTGCACTCCTAGAGACATACAATATCGATGTGTTTAGTTGTTACTTTCTGATGTAAATCTGAGAACCTTTTTTTGAGGGATGCAATGTTCTAGCTAAGGATGGATAACTTAGTTATTTGTTCATTTAAAGTCAGCATTATATATTGATATTATTAGTCCACTTAATATATATTATCTATTCCAATACTATATAAGTCCAGGAACATTTTTTAGTTGATTACCAATGTCACTCATTTTCCTCCAATTGTCTAGTACAATTTGTCTCATTTTCATCTATAGAGTCGTTTTGAACATACCTTAACACAGCGTTGGCAGTTAACCAGCGTGGAAGGGCTCTACTACACAAGATTTCAAGATCACTAGAAGTTTCCCCTGGTGGGCAAGCGAACACAAGTTTGGAGGGCTCAGGGGTGGAAGGGGGAGTTTAGCAGTCATTGCTTAAAAGTCCTCTTATACACGTGACCATCTTCACAATATCGCTGGTGGATTTTTTCTCATGATGGAGTTGCTCTTGCAGCCGCTCCGTCTCCTGCTGTGACTGCTGCTGGTGTTCCTGCAACCCATCACGAAGGGCAACCACTGCTTGAATAGTGGAGCGACCCAAGGGCGAGGTGATAGGGAGGCTGAGGTTGCGATTTGTCTCATTTTGATCCAATTCCATATTCCCCACTTCCATTTAACTGTGGGGTCCAGCTGTGGGTGGTCCGCTCACAGTAGGTAACATTATCTCAGAACCAAGAAGTGGCCACTCTACATCAGGGAACGGCCCACCACTGGCAGAAAATGCAGTATCTGGTTCTTGTGGGGAAGCTGGGATGATGGCAGGAGTCTTCGGTCTGGTACCGGTCCCCTTGTGCACTTCGTAATTTAAAGGTGGTGAGTTTGGCAGCCAGTTGGAGCGAACATCACCTCCAGATGGCTCTGAACAGCAAGTGGGACTGATGGCAGCATTTGGCAACTGCTCTTCATGGTGGTGTAAAGGGTACGGCGAGTGTTGTGTCAACACCTCTGGGAGGCAGGTTCCTGGCACCTGACGGGCAGGCGCAGGTTGAACAGAAACCTGTTGTCTGGCCTCGTGGTGCACTTGGTGCTTGGCAGATGGTGAAGTATTTGGTATCCAGCTGCTACGAACACTACGTCCAGGTGGCTCTGCACAGGAGTTAGAGCCGGCAGCAGGATCTGGCAACCGTCCTCCCGGGTGGGCGGGGCCGGGCACCTGGCCGTAAGCAGCTGATCGCTTGACACAGTCAAGGTGCCAGGCTTGAACACCGAAGGCGACTGAAAAAACCTACCAGGGCTTCCGCTACCGTTGACGTCTCGATGTTTTTCAGGGCAGCTGCTTCTGGGTACCTTGTTGCGTGATCGACCATGGTCTGGATGTACTTACTGCCGTCCGTTGCACTCGGTATGATCGGACCAACCAGATCAATGCTGACCAGCTTGAACGGCTGATCAATGATGGGTAGGGGCTGAAGCTTCCCGGGCTTCACCCGTCTTTGATCAGTAGTGCGCTGACAGGTGTCACACGAGCGAGTGTAACACTGTATTTTCCCAGTAATTCCTGGCCAGTAGAACACAGCTTGTATCTGCGCACTGGTCTTTGCGTGACCCATATGACCTATGACCACTTCATGACCTAAGCGGAACGCAGCCAATCTATGCTCCTGTGGAACAACGAGTTGGTCCCAAATGTCGTGAGGCGTCTCAACACTGCGCACGAGTTTCCCATTATGGTGCAAGTACCAGTACTTGCGTTCCTGGTGTTGGAAAACTTTTTTCTCCTCAGCATACCTACGTATCTGGGCTAATGTTGGGTCGCTCCCTTGGACATCAATAAACTCCTTTGCAGACACTCCTTGAATGTCTCGTAATTTCAAATGTTTTTCTGGGCGAGTCGGCTTGTTGGTCTCTGACCTCGTAGTGACAGCTGCCACGAGCAAGTTACCTGTTAATGGAGTTGCTGTTGCTTCAACCAGAGGTTTTGCTTCTCTCTCCATAACTTCACAGCTTGCCTTCTCTCCCTTATTCTTCAGCTGGGTGAGGGTGTGGTCACTCCCTGTGACGTCATCCCCAGGCGAGTCACCCTTGGCTTCAGTTGACTGAGTGTGGCTGCACTCAGCTGAGGCAGAAGCTTCCTCACTGTCCCCCGTTTTCTTCGAGGGTGGACTCGGGCAATCAGAAACTCTCGGAACATTTCCCATTAAAAGTCCATATACAGCACGTTCCTGTTGAACGGCACGAATTTTACCTTTGATGTAAGGTGTGTCGACCCACACATACACCTCCACTATCTCTTTAGCATAGCCATTTGGGAATTTAACATAGATATGTCTACCTGTCTCAGATCCTGGCTTTACTAGGCTTTTTCTTACCATGTGGGTAGTGGCGCCTTTGTCACGGAAGATTTTCGCCGATTTTCCGTTAACATTTCCGTCCACCACCTCAAGGGTCCAAGCTAGTGGATCCTTTCCAACGTTGGGATGTTTCTTACCACTTGAGCTCACACCTGCTATGTAACCTGATTTCGGTTTTACCTTGCAATCAGCTGCACGATGACCTGGCTTACCACAGGTGTAGCACTTGTGCACATGCTTGTTGGAGGAGTTTCCCTGCTCCCCCGACACACCAGTCTTAGGCTTAGCTCCCTCGCCAATACCTGTAGCATGATGCTTCTCGTGCGGCTTCACCCCTTTCACCTGTCTCCTGGCCCCAGCCCACAGATCAGCTTGCTTGGCCAAAGACAGATTTGACACAACTTCTTGCTCTTTGAGCTTGACACGCAGAGACGATTCGCATGCTTTTAAAAACTGTTCACGAATCATCAGTTGATAGAACTCCATGCTCCCAGGAGCAGTCTCCATGAGTTCACAGTAACGGTTTAGACTCGATTCTAACCGCTGTAACATTAGCACATATGTCTCCCCTTTTTGCAATTGAGCTCTACGGAAATTCTCTAGCATCCGGTCTGCAGTGATGCCAAAACCGTTCAGCAGCGCTGTTGTCAATGCCTCGTAATCTCCGCGCTGGTGCGGACCCAGACTGTGGTAGATAGTTAGTGCCCTACCCTTTAACAATGCACTAAGAGCGAGTGCCCACTTTGATCTTTCCCACCCGCAATCAGCGGCGTGACCTTCGAAACGCTTGATGTATGCATCCATCGAGTCGCCCCTTTCATCAAAGTTAGCTAGTTTAGGTAGTTTGACAGTCTTACCTTGTTCAACGTTAGTCTCTGTTGAACGACCACTTGTCTGGTCATCCTGCCTTGCTTGTAACTGCATGAGAGCTATGCGTTCAGTACTCTCTCTGTTCTGCTGATCAGTCCAGCGTTTGTTTTCTCTCTCTTGCTGCTCAGTCCAGAGTTTGCTTTCTCTGTCCTGCTGATCAGTCCAGAGTTTCATAGCTTGCTCTGCTACTTTATTCCCTTCGAATCCCAACTCCCTAACTTGGTTACGGTATTCCTCTAAGGTGAATAAATGCGAGCCTGTAATACCTACTCTTTGAGTTGGTGTCGTCTACAAGGACCTTTTGGGCTGAGATTCTTCCCCGTAGAATCCCCCCAACGAAGTATTTAAAGCGCTAGATTCCGGTATGACTCCGTTTTTTTCTGCAGCTCGCGATTCTAGTGACATCATTCTCGGTGACGTCACCCACAGGGGTCTCTACCTCCAAGTTGTCTCTCACTGGGGTCTCTCCCACTGTGTTATCTCTCACCGGGGTCTCACCACCGATAGCCTCATCCAGTGTGATGAGACTCGTGCACGCCACCTCAGTACTACCCTGCATGTGTGCTTGTAGCATCACCTCTTCCACGGCCCTCATGTGCTGCTCCACTCGTTCCTTACACTCTTGCTCAGTAAGAGTGTCGTAGTCGTCAGGTCTACGAGCGGTCAAGGCCAGGTGAAGATGCAGGTAGCGCTGTTTGTACTCTCCACACTCAGACATACTGGTGGTGTGTGTACCTAACAGGGCGTTAAACGTCCTCTGAATACTGCTCGTCACTTTTCAATTTTCAGGGAAAATTTAAGTGCGAAATTTTACTTTACAACCTAGCTCATAGGTTCCAACTAAGCCAATCACGTTGGGCGCCAGATGTGGGGGTTTTCTTTTTTGCTTTCCCGACTGCAATGCGTACGTCGCCAATGTACATGTGGCAGACGCTTCACGAAGCTGTCGGAATTAGCAGAATAGAAAATACGAGAGCAACCGTACAGGGCCTGGGAGCAAGGTCGAGTTAGAGTCCTTGAGGGTCTCTTCTCAGACTAGCCTCACCTGGTCCTGCTCCACGTTGATCGTTGGAATCTCCTCAATGATTTAACACTTTAAGGGACTCCTAGGGTCCTCATCACATTTATAGTTTAGTGAATATAGGCAACTCGGTGTTGAAGACACCTAGAGCTGAAGGCTTGAGTAATGTTGGCAGTATTCAGAAGTGGTTCAACGGAAACACCGCATAAAGCTTAACAGTAGTTTATTTACTAACTTAACCACTAATACAAAGGGTGCTTGATTTACTTTAGATTGGCGTCAGAAAGGCTATGGTTGCATTAGCGAGACTCTTGACGTCTGGCTAATCGACTCGGATCCACTCGTGGAGAAACACCTAACTTAACACAGTTGACAGCCAATCATTAACACGGCAACCTAACTGCCGGTATGCAAAGGGATCACAAGAGTTCCAACCGGATACTCGGGTAATGATGATATGCAATAAATCACAAATACACTGTCAATGGGACAGGCAATAACATGCACAATAATAATATCACACAATACTAAATGTGTGGTGTATGTGAAGCTCACATTCACAGACGAGTGAAATGCCGTGATACCACACAGATAAACACGCATACACCGTCGATTCACCTATAACCTGTGACAGGTATGAGAAGGTGAGAACTGTGGTTGATACCTCAGATCAACACAGACACAATAAAACAATGACAAGATCTTGTACTTACAGATGGGGGTACCTCTCTTATTCACTCACTCACTCAGGCACATTTATGCAAGAACTCGTAGGTGGCCTGACAGCTGGGCGCTCGTTCTGACGTGAGACCATTGACGACAGGGTTTCCCACAAACCGTACTTGACACGAGGGTACTCGCAGGAGGGCGTGCTGTATGCTTAACAGACAGACACACGCACACACACTGGCACTGGCGGTGAGTAAGGGTGGTGACGTCACGTGGTACAGTGAGGGCGGCGGCGGGCGGCTCGAGGTACTGAGGTCGGGAGGTACTGGCACGCTGGCAGAGTGGCGGCTATGTGGTACCATGCAGGTACACTTGTGGTAAAGTCACACACAGGTTACTTAGGCGGCGGCACTGCCTTAGTTCACTCTAGGTCACTCACAACGATCTCTTTGTCACCAGGGGTTACCTGATACCAGTCTGTTTCGCTCTGGATGATTTTGTCACTATAGGCTTCTGAACAATATATTCTCAATCGTGATTCTGAGCGAGTGTGGTTATATCGAAAAGACGCTGAGTTAACTTGACGGTGAGGAATGTACGGTGTTAAGTCTATTGGCCGTTAGACAGAACAGGACACGTCCTCTGGATAAGGGCTCCCTCACGTGAATGCTTTTTCCTGAGGCTCAGAGCATCTTGTGGGGCACACATAAGGAATTACAATTTGACCAATAGCATTGCAGCAAAGGAGCGGGAACCAATCATATTGACCGTACCCTGATCAGTAGCAGAGGTGACGTCGTGAACACGTCACAACCACGTCATAGCTGTTATTCTCCATCTTGCTGGTTGACCCCAGAGGTCAGATGGTCGTCTCGTTGGCGTCTCCCCCTCTATTGTCTCTCACGCGCACCAGCCAATGTACTCATTGACCCTTTGTGGCAAGTATGCTTAACTTCCCTGTATCTACTTCCTGCCTGGACATACGGCGGCCTCAGTATTATGAAAGTATTCCTGGTTAAGTGGGCATTCTGGAGATACCCAACATGCCAGGTTACTATCCAGGGTTAACAGAGATAGGGCTTGTGCACGAAGATCGGTGCACTGTGCACTGCAATGAGCCATTCCAGTCAGCTGTGGGTGAATCTTGAGAGACTATTCTCTTACAATTTGACAATTAACTAATGACCCACAGCGTATCCAGTCGGAACTGGTTATTCTGGGTCATAACATGTATATAAATAAAAGTGTAAATGTTCGTTTGTTAAAAATTGCTAATCTCCGAAAGCTCTTCACTGGATGTTTTGAAATTTTGACACAACATCCCAGTCGCATACGAGCATGTTTTTATATACATACTATATAGACATATCGTCTGTGACAGGTAAATCATGCTTTTTTGGAAAAACTGTTTGTTTCACGCGAGTTTTCACGTGAGGGGAAATCCCCGAAACCTCTTTAGCGATTGCTTTGAAATTTTGACACAATGTTGCATCTGAATATGTGCGTTTTGATATACCTACAATATACATGCCACACTTGTGACAGGTAAAAACAGACATTTTTTGAAAAACAGCATCATCTGTTGGACGTAAGAGCAACACACACTGTAATCTCCAAAAGTTGTCACCGATTGCTTTGAAATTTTGCCACTGTTACGGACCCGAGTCCAGCGTCGGAGCACGGAGCAGTGACGACAACGCCATCTGTGAGTCCGCTCCCGAAACCCACTCCAAATGGACGACGCCATCTAGTGGTGACAGGATAGGCCAGCAATAAGTGTTGGATTCCTGTCCTAGTCAGCTCATGACGTAGCCGCTGCTGACCTCTAGTGAGGTGGTGCTTAGACAGTAAACGCCATGTATGGAGTGAAGAGGTGGACGTTTCTGTCTAAGCTTGTGAGTGAAGCGTCCCAGTATTAATGACGTGTCTGATTGCAGAGTCGACCTGGGACTGCTGTGTTGGACGATGGACCAGTCTACCCAAGGCAGCCAAGGTCTCCTCATCAGTCTGCTTTGAAGAAGCTGTGAGCCATTCCTAGACGAACTCTGTTGAGAGTAATAGCCTGCCTGAGGAGTGGCAGTGTTGGGAATCGCCTTATCCGGGGTTGGCTGGTGGAGGAGACCACCCACTGGGGTGCTGTATGAGGAGAGTGACCAGCGAGTCACACGAGGCTCCTGGCTAGGGCACGCAACCCTAAGTATCGGTCGTGGAGTGGCCTATACAGCGGAGCAGATCGGTACCTGCCAGCTACAGGCTGGATTGTGGTTGAAGGCCTCCACGACGAAGCACCCAGTGGTACTGTGATTTGGCTGGCCTGTTGCCAGGGTAGATTCGTCATAGTTATCGTGGATGCATCGTGAACCACGGAAGCAGAGACCAGGGCTACCTACAAGAAGCATCGCAGAGTGTTGAGCGTCTTCAGAGAGGGAGACCTTATTGTACATTGTGTAGTTATAATTCCCTTTTATGACTTTAAATTACGGTGGTGGAAATATATATCGGAAAATTGAAATATTTGTATCCCTTCCCCTTTAGTTTTACTTGCGTTACGGAACACACCCCTTGAAAGCCTCTACTAACTTGGGGCCGGATTCCCAAACTCTACTACCATCAGAGAAGAACCCGGTTGGGTCCCAGTAGGGCCGTAAAAACCACAACGTTTCATTCGAGTATGTGCGTGTTTTTATATACCTACTCTATAGATGCCCACATATGACAGGTAAAAACATGTTTTTTATGAAAAATAGCGCCATCTGTTGCACGTAAGAGCAACACCCGCTAAACTAAATATGTTATGATTCCATTTCAATGTTTCCGATTGCATCGATAAATTGAATTTTTTAAAATTTTGATTTATTTTAAATTTGACTTAATTATTTTATGTGTTGCAATTGAGCAATGTTGTTTACCGTACCGTTCATTTCGTGAGTATAGTTCATTTTCTCATTTGTTCATGGTTTTAATTAGTTTTTTAACTGTTCTTATTTTTCAGTGATGGGAAAATGAGATCATTTGATATGCCCATTTTTCTGATGGGAACATCAGATCATTTGGCAACGTATTGGTCAAGGAAGTGGGGAACGGTGGGGAGGACAAGGGGGCGAGAGTGCGGGTGATAGTGGGGAGGACGATGTAATGGGTATGGGGGTAATGCTGGGCAGGACAAAGGGATGAGGGAATTGGGTATTGTGAGGAGGACTAGGTGACAGGGGAATGGGGAATGGTTGGGAGGACGAGAGGACGA